GCCCAGCAGTAGTAGGAGATATATTAGACACAAAAAAAGGGGTAAAGAAGGACAGAGAAAAGCCTAAATTAGATTAGTATTCGCAAACAGTTAGGGTTGTGGGATATTTGATCCAATCTTTGAGATATACAAAAATAGAGGAATCCGATGATACCGTTTTAAATTATGGATACCGAATGCGCCCTTATTAAGATAAGAAATGTTTCATGAGTAGTACGTAGTACAGACACAGTGAAAAGAGATAGCCGAGTAATAGTAAGCATTGCAGCGGTTAGAGGTTGCTTAGGTACGCAAAAGATCAGGGTCGGCTTCATAACTGCCTACTTGGAATTATATCTTTAATCAGTCGTTTTTACATTCATAAATTCCTGAAAATGTTGAACGTTCGATGCTCGTAACATGCTCAAATTCTGCTTGTCTGTATCTGTTTCTGTTACACATTAATTGGTGTAATTTCATTTCATTTCTTTATTAGTGTCCGCTGCAATTCCTAGCTGGCATCTCTCTTCTATGTTTACGATATTCCCTGCCACGTTTGTCGCTTGTAAAAGTAGGCGTTCTGTCAGCAACCGTTCTAGTGTAGTTGGTAAATGTGCAGATGATGACCCACACCCCCGTCGGTGGTGGATCGAAAGAGGAGGTCTCCCCCACCACTGTACAATAAAACGTTCGTGGCGGTCTCGTACCCATAAAAAGTTATGGGGGTGGGGGTAGGGGGATCTAATGAGGGTAGGAGGGATCGAAAGACGTGGTCGCCAGAGTAAAACCCCGTAAAAAATTTGCGGCGGTCTCACCCCCATAAAAAGTTATGGGGGTTGAAAGTTTATTATTTTGACAATTTTCATACACTATAATTCAAATAAAATTAAAAAAGACCACCACGAACTTTTTATGGTACAGTGGTGGGCGAAACCTCCTCATTCGATCCCCCCCATCCCCATCCCCGAAGGGGGTGGNTAACCTAACCTACCCTATTCATAAAGATATTTAAATGATGTTTTATATAACTTTTTCAATATTTTTATGTATTCCTCATTAGTTTTACCTTTGAATATTGTTTAAGAATGACTATATAAATATTCACATGCCTAGAAATGTATAAAAATTGGCATATTTATTTAACTTTGAACCCCCATAACTTTTTATGGGGGTGAGACCGCCACGAACTTTTTATGGTACAGTGGTGGGGGAGATCTCCTCTTTCGATTCCCCCCACCGCCAACCCCGACGGGGGTGGGGGCCATCATCTAGACCTTTACCGTCTAGTTAATATATTAAAAGAAGAATGTAAATGCGACAGCTTTTTATTACGGATTATGCCAATTGTGAACTTCCCAACTATAGTAGATCCATGTTGACAATAAGTATAAATTACCGATTTGATGATAGGGGTCTGTACTTGATTTCTGTCGTTGTATTTGCAGTAGATGTGCACATTTACGTTATACAATTAAACCGAGGGCTATTCGAGAACGAATGGTCTAACGATAAGGCACTTAAATAAATCTTATTAACTATCTATCGTCCTCCCACTTGCGGTCCACACTCGGGAATAATATTCTTCCCGATTACAAGGACGATGGACGCGCGGTTGGATCCCGTTCTTCGGTTACGACCACTTAAGTGATAATGTTATATCATCTATTAAGACGGAGAATAGCGCCGGCGAGATCAGAAAACACGCCCATTTTTAATTATGCGCAAACCATAAATTAAAGTTACTGGCAATTTGTTATTGACCACGGATGAGTTACTGAATTATAAGCACTCTTCTCGTCGTTTATGCTCTTTACTTAATGGTCTAAAGACCATGAGCGCCTATAAATCATGGTCACTTCCAGAACTCCAACCGTACCCACACTCTGAAAGTTCAGGCGAATAATAGATACAAACCGGAAAATCAACGAAGAAATATGATAAGTAATAGAAGAAAATGGTATTTTAATCTTTGTCAACCAATTCTCTGGTACTGTTAAGAATTACGTAGAAATGTCATAAAAATTTAAGTACTTACTTAAGACATAAGCTCTGTGTGGAGCAGTTGATGGTATAATGGTAAGGAATAATTATTTATACCATCTTTTCCATTTCAAATTGTTTCCTGTTGTTATGGTTACTGTTAAGATCGTGCCTAAATGCAAGTTTACTGAATAATGCCAAAATTTGCCAAGTTCAAAATTGTTATAGGTGAGTTGCGAATTTTTTTTTTGCCAATTACGATGAACCAATTGATGTTGTTCTAAATCAGGAACATTAGCCAAGTACTTAACCAAGTTCAAAATTGTTGATCATTGGCAAAGAACCGATTTTCTACTAATAGATCCACTATTTCAGAAATACATTAGTATTCCACCTTAACAATTTGACGCTGAACATTAGCCAAGTACTTAACCAAGTTCAAAATTGTTGATCATTGGCAAAGAACCGATTTTCTTCTAATGGATCCACAATTTTCAGAAATACATTAGTATTCCACCTTAACAATTTGACGCTGAACATTAGCCAAGTACTTAACCAAGTTCAAAATTGTTGATCATTGGCAAAGAACCGATTATCTTCTAATGGATCCACAATTTTCAGAAATACATTAGTATTCCACCTTAACAATTTGACGCTGAACATTAGCCAAGTACTTAACCAAGTTCAAAATTGTTGATCATTGGCAAAGAACCGATTATTTACTAATAGATCCACTATTTCAGAAATACATTAGTATTCCACCTTAACAATTTGACGCTGAACATTAGCCAAGTACTTAACCAAGTTCAAAATTGTTGATCATTGGCAAAGAACCGATTTTCTTCTAATGGATCCACAATTTTCAGAAATACATTAGTATTCCACCTTANTTTAGATATATATAAAATGGAGCATAACATTTCCAAATTCAGAATATGCAAGTAAAATATGATTTTGTGCCAATTTTAATGCTCCTAACAGTGTAATCGTTCACCTTATTGATCTGAGCCAAGTTCATATTAACTTAAATAAAAATTGGCATAAGAAGTGATAATCATAACTTGTTCATTTCAAGACGTGCTGTGTTGTTTGGCATTTTCGTTTTATAAAACAATGATTCTCTAAATATTCACTTACAAATATCGTCACCACTTATTGCTGTTCGAAACAACTGGATAGCCAACTCTGGTAAAACCATTTATCAACGACGTTGACGGTGGACAGTTTAGCTTTATCTTACTAGCAAAGTCAAGATTAATACGACACTTTGCAATTCATCATAAAGGCGCCGTAGGAAAATTCGATACGTGTTGGGCAACAAGAGATAAATTTGCCATTCAATACTACGGTAACCTATTCGGACAATGTTACATGTAAATCGTTGTCAATTAGTAACGTACTATAACCGAAAATAAAAAGTGGGACTAGTACATGTTTTTAATGAACGTTAACATTATATTTTTAATTGCTATTCAAGAACTAATCTTCCACTTTGTTTTTAATAAAGAATTAGGATCATTTTTGCTAACTTACAATATTTTGCAGTTGTGTTTTGTAAGTGCATTTCTTGGGGAACTTTATCATTGTAATCACGTATAAATGTAAGTTTTTATTGTTTAATATGCGCAATAAAAACAAATGCTAACATTCAAGTGTAGGATGATGCAGAGAATTTAAAATTTTAGCGAAGAATTTCTGGTACCGTTACTATTTACAAAACGACTTTTGGATTAGCATAATTACGCGAAACAATCCATTATCATTTTACAATCGAAATAGATTACAAGTTTATTTACCTAAATCTGTATGATACTTTGCTGATGTCCTAGATGTAGGCAGCAGTTTTCTACGTTAACGAACGGAAAATTGGAAAATCTAGTGTAGCAATTGGAAATGTTAATAGATATTAACACTTGGTTTAAATTTTGTGTTTATGTTTTGTTGATATTTCTCTTTTATCTAAGTAATATCGTTAATAAATCGTCCTATCTTTTTATGCATTGATATTTATCTCCTCATCCAACCCTGAAGTAGATGTACAAACTAATGCCTCCCCAAATTGTGAATATGTGAATTTGTACTATACTTCATTTACTTTCTGTAGCGATGTGTCCCTTCCAGTGTCTTGGATGCGCACTGGCAAAATCGTAGGTAGGAAGAAAAAAGCTAATTATACTCTCGACTCTTGTTCATTAAACATAATTTTTCATACAGTACCTGCCAAAAGTTTTGTTCAATCATGAATAGTAATGCGAGTCGAAAACAATCGTTAAAGCCTTTAATATGTCTTCAAATATAAATAAACATCTCGTTGATATTTTCAGTACTAATTGGTACCAATAACAGCACATTTGAGCAATGCAATTGTAGTGGATAAAATGGTCAATTTTTCCGTGCAGTACTGTACGAATTATACGCTCCTCACCGGTTAAGAGTTTGGCCGAGAGTTGTATCCTTCCTTTTCTGGCCTAGTGCTGTTCTTTTCTACTCTGCGCCGGTCAAACTGAAGGTCACATCGCTACAGAAAGTAAACGAAGTATACCAAACACTTGAAATGATTATTGCTGGAAGTTTCTATAACGTCCGATATGTCGTAAAAATTTATGTTGGTAAAAAACAGAAATACTAAAACGAGTAGTGGGTGCACATATATAAATTATAAAGACAAATTTACATTTGTACAAACGCACGCAAAGCGGATTCGATAGCAAATCGTTTCTAGCAGTTATCATTGTATTCGCGTAATGCATATTTCAAATGTACTTTATCATACGTGCATATGTATGAATTAAACACCGCCTCAAATTAAATGCATTTCTTGAAGTCAGCATATTAGACAATAATCAGAATCTATAATTCGTGTGGTCTATAAATCTTGCAATTTTAATCTAATAGATCGGACTTTCCAGACAATAATTCCTTAGAAAATGTACTAAACAAAATTTTAGAATCTAAAAAGCAGAAATCTATCTATATATAAATTAATGTTTTCACACAAATCTCGAGATCAGTGTACGAGTCTTTTCGTCGTTTCTTTTCAGTTTGAAAATGGTATTGGTTTTAAATGGCGTACTGCAAGAGGACTGCCCTCCTGACACCCGATCTCTGTATCACACGCATCCAATATATCGGGAAACGGCCGCCCAGCTCCTGGCCATCCCGAACAAAGTCATCGGACCAGTTGGCCTTCTCTACGTAATGCAACGGGAATTTGCAGCTACAGTGCCTCATGATAGTAAGTAAATAAATGGAAAATTGTGTATTGTTTTATTAATTACTAATAGTGATCAATGTTAATATGCAACATCAACTTGAAATCACTTTTCGATTTTGATTTTGGTGCATAAAGCCAAAGGTCCCGGGTTCGATTCCCGGCGGGGATGTGACAACAGCAACAATTTTTTCCTCATTAATTTGAGGAAATTTGTAGTGGTGCAAACTCGAAAAGTGATTTCAAGTTGATGTTGCATATTAAAAAATTATGTTTTATTATCTGTTGTCTACAGTGTTGGTAGTTGTTGATGAGATAATGTGTGGCATACAGACATCAAAAAAATAGTCTGAAAACGTATTTTGAATTAAAACCCTGCCTCAGCTTGATGAAGCATGGCTGGTTCAAGGAGCATACGTTTCTTCCCGATAAATCTTTTTGTCCATTTCCATAAACATTTAGAATTTGTAAAGCAGGTATCTATTATAAAACCTGTTTATTGCAACTGGTTGGAAGTATCGAATGTATTGATTTTTTTTGGCATAAACGACGATAGAAAATCGTTATTATTGCATTTATTGCCGTCAGATATTTACACACAATGGAATCATGGTTCAAACATGAGTCGCGATTACAAATCGGAAACTGCTGTAGACACCATCGCGCACTCGCTTACCATTAAAAGAATTTGAAAAATTACCACGAACTGCTTGATAGGCAAACGTTTTAATCAACCGACGAATGTTGGCCGTTATTTTATCGTTTCTTATTACGAACCAAACGCAGAACGTACATGAATACACTCATACGGGAAAATATATATTATATACTGTATGTCACTAAAAGAACAATTAGCTTAACTTCCCATGCGTCGAAAATCTTAACTACATTTGTACAGGAGGAGGATGGAAAAAAGGGCGGAAGAACTATTAGGGGAAGACCAATATGGGTTTAGAAGTAATAGAGGAACGCGGGTGGTCATTTTAGCTTTACGGGTAACAATTGAGAAGGCGATAGAAAAAAGAAAGATGGTAGATTTAGAAAAAGCTTTCGACAATGTTAAATGGAACAAGATATTAAATATACTTAAAAATGTAGGGATGAGTTAAAGAGATCGAAGAGTGATACTTAGTTTGTATAAAGAGCGACAGGCAGTTACAGAACTAGGGCTGCAACGTAGAAAAGTAAATATTAGGAAGGGAGTCAGACAGGGATGCACACTGTCACCGCTACTTTTTATTCTATACGTTGAAGACGCGATCAACATCATTAAAGACAGTACAACTGTAGGGATAGATATACAGGGGCAAAAGATTAGTATGCTTAGATTTGCAGATGATATAGCAGTATTAGCATCTAGCAAGCAGAAATTAGAGATAGCTTTAAATAAAATTGAAGCGTTATTGACAAAACAGTACTGTATGAAAATAAAATAAAATTAAAACAAAAATACTGGTATGCAGGGGAAGAAAATGTATGGAAAAAGCGAATGTATAGGAAACGAAAAATTAGAAGAAGTGAAAATCTTTGCATTTCTCGAAGATTGCTTCTTGTATATCCCTGACTTTCAGGTCTCAAAAGGTGTCGAGCCATCCTACTTTTCCTTTCCGTATTGTCTCTCTATTCTTTTCTTCTGTTTTTTCTAATAGCTACTTAGACATTTCTAAACCCTTCTATATTCATCATCTGCCCACAGCAAGTAAAAGTTTTCAAATAATTAAAACGAAAAGTTAATATTTCTATTTTTTATCTCAGTTGTACAGAAGTTCTTTTGAAATAAACCAATTTTTAAACGGTATTATAAATCACTCTTTGTGATAAAAATAAAACAGTACCTTTTTGACATACTGTAACTGTGTGTACATTGAATTGGAGTTAACTATAAGGATTTATTATCTCTGTTTTAAACGAACATTGACTTAAGTTTTATTGCATCTCAGTGAATGTTATCTTGTTCCCAAGGGTTTCCTTTATCACTTTTCAGAAGAGTTATAAATTCAACTGTTAAATATCGATCTAACGACTGTGGCACTGTGCTTAGTATTTATTAATATTATTTATCTATCTATCGGAATCGTCGTTCGATGCAATTGTGCATATTTAATGAATTCACAAGCTTTGTGTGTGGGCACCTCATAAATAACATTATCCAATTATTTCTGTTATCGAAATTGAATAACGAAAGTTATTGTCCTTCTTGTACCTTCAGGATTCAGTTTACTTATTTTTTGTTCCTTTTCCACTGTTTGTTCCTAGAAAATAAAGCGGTTCAAAATATGGCTGTGTTCTTTTTATATTTTTTAGAAAATCCTGTAATTTCCCTTAAAAATAACTATCTGTTTTTATTTAAGACAAAAGCAAACCCACTTTTAAGCCTTTTAGACAATTCTGTTTCATTTACTACTCCACTCGGGGTGTACTTCTGGAGTTGTAAAGTTTTTGTAGTAGTAAGTAGTAACTAGGGAGCGGACTTGACATCATTATCAGAGACGTACTTAGGACGTTATGCTATTATTTGTGGTGAAAGACATATGACATATATCCAGATCTTACAAAAAATTGTGTATTCCAGTCGGGTTCTTGTATGGGGCTGAATTCATTCAAAAGAGCAGCAAGTTGTTGTTGTTGACTTTGTGATTCTTACCCCATAAAATTACGATTGGCGGCCTAAGTACAGGTCTTATCTGCCTGAACGACGTCCGTTCCTTAGTATATTATGTTATACTTAATAAATACTAGCAGTATATTTTTTTATTACAGAAAACGTTAGTATTCTAGGATCGGATGACGTTACGACATGTATTATAGTTGTCGTCAGACACTCAGGTAAATTTAAATTACAATGCAGTGGAATTCGTTTATTATGACTCCGCCTATAGTGACCAACCGCTTAATATGAAGTAATTGCAGTATGGTTTTCATATTAAACTCTCTATAAGAAAGTTTGGATGTAATGACTCCATTTAAAATGACATGCCGTTTATTATGACTGATTCTTAAGAAATAATATCCGGCTGTAGTCACCCAAATGATTAATAATAACATTTTCGCTCATTTTTCTGACCCTTCTTATGTATATTGATATTACAATTCATCGTTCTTTTTCTTTTTCTGTTAATAAATATATACAATTTGTAGTCATTTCCCTTCGATGTCATTATAAGCGGATTCTACTGTAATAATAAACTCATTGTTTATTGACATTTTTCCTATTTTAATTCAATTTTCAAGGCTCAGGTGCAGTAGCTTTAGCACATCTGGACGGGTCTGGCATCGACGAGGCCGTTTGTAATATGATCCAGAGGGTACAGGAGTTAGCAATGGGTTATCCTGAAGGACGCATAGAACTTCAGTTGGTTGGGGGGTTTAGCGATGCTCATCATTTTTCTGAAGACTTATTCTATAACATTATGAGTAAGTACGTACAAAAGTCAGTAGGTGGTGCAGAAAAATAGTTTTTGACGTGACAACGTCTTATAATTCGATGGAGCCGGGGCTGCACGCACGAAAAAATATGACTCATGCGGCGTTACCTCGCTCTGAGGCGTTCCATTTAAGGCTTGAAGTGCAAGCGAGAGCGCGGAACGAGCGACAAAGAGGCACAATCGGCCTCCGCGTTCGGCAGCGTTCGACATCTGTCTCTCTCCTACTTGA